CATCACCATAAACTGAGTTTCCTTCTTCCCACCATCACAAACCAATGAAATGGAGGCAGGGAGTAGAAGCCCCTGCTCCATGTCATTCATTATACAGTACGTGGCATCAGAGAAGAGAGTGGAGAAGGGAGATGCAAAGTTGCTGCTTGCTCATTACATAAAGAGAGAAAATGCATTCCCCCACCCCACCCAAAAAAGAAGACCACAGGTTTGCATAAAATTTGTGTGCACTAATTTTTATCTTTATCTATGAATATTGAAATAATTACTAGGCGATTTCTGTGTCTGCTTAGCCTGCTGTCCTGGTGCTGTTGATGAGCAGTTCTTGCTCCCTTCTAATGGTTCTTTAATCAATGGCACCATCACTGATATTTTTATTCTCCCAGGTATTTGGGTCCTGGTTCATCTTGTGGTTGAATGAAGCATCTAGTGTTTTTGGTATAGTGAGTTTTTGCCTGATGTAGTGGCTGGCATATTGGACTAGGACCTGGGTCCAGGGAGGTCAGGGTACCATTCCCCACTCAGCTGTGGCGAGTTCACTGGACCAGTCACAGCTTCTCCATGTGGCCTGCTTTGCAGGGTTGTTGTGAGGATAACACGGGGAGGTGGAAAACAATGTACACCCCTTTTAGCTCATGGGAGAAAAGGTAGAATATAAATGGAATAATAAATAATTTTTAATGCATTGCTTCCAAAATTGATTCTTTTTTTAATGTATCATTCTTCTTTTTGCATTATTACAATTAGTTGCTTTGAGACATTTGTGGGACTCAACACACATCTAAGTAAATAATTTTTAAAACAAAACAAAAATATTTGGACGGGATTCCTTCCAACTCTACAATTGCATCATTCTGTATTTTTATGTAGCTCAAGGATTTGTCCCACCTGCATTTCAGATTGCCGGTGCTCAGAATGCAGATTTCAGGATGAGGGTGAATGGATTAGACTCTGTTCAGTGGTAACCAAGAGAGTTTGCAAAGAGTCCTTCCTCCTTGCTCCAGAAATTATCCTGGAGGCCTGGAGGTCTGCACTCATCTAAGACTCAGGTTAAACTGAGTAAGTAATGGCAACATCCAGTGAATAAGTCAAGGAGACACTTTCCAGCATGATTCCACATTGCAGATGAAACAGGTTCCAGCACAGGGAGTTTACATACTCAAACTGCCACCAACAATGTCACGATGAGGTTGCATCATAGTCTAGACACAGGACAGTGTAGGCTAGCATCTGATGTGGTCAAGTGAGAGAATGTCTTTCCTGCACCAGCTGGAGATGATGTTGCAACATTTAAATTGGTAGACGTATAACAGTGGCAATGTGCATTGCTAGAAGCAGGGAAGATTCCTGAGTGATCATTAAAACATACAACTGATTTCTACCTGCATGCTTACTTTGGGATAAGCTACATTGAATGGTGGCACTTCCTTCTGAGTAAACATCCATGGATTAGGACTGCTAGTGGAATTAATAAACATTTGACAAATAATATCATCACGCAGCATATCTGAATTTCAAGAAATAAAAAATCTGTGGCATGTCTGGGTGGTTTTTTTAATAGCCAGTGTATGTGGTAGATCTGAATCCTCCATCCTTAAATTCACAATAGGACGAAAGCTTTGATTGGTGCCATTGGGAGATTTTGAAAATTGCAGCCACAGAGAGGCAATTCTGATCACAACTGTAATGGGTCCAAAAAGTTAACGCTGCTTCCTTGATTTAAAAATCAAGCATATCAGGACAAACATCACATCTAATCTGGCTCTCAGAAGGGGAACAGACATCTGGCTACATTTTGTAACAGAAATGTTGCAAATGCCTCACTCCAAGAAGCTATTCTGCTTGTTTACATTAATGTTCATTCACCTCACAGCTCTGTGTGAGGTCTAATGCTCCCCTGCCCCTTTTCTGTTTTGCACAGTATTTTGTGCAAGGGTGCCAGTTTGGCATAATCTCTATTTTAAAGCACTCAATTCCTGGGAACTTGGTTAAGAGGGTGCTTGGAATTGTAGCTCCGTGAGGGTAAAGTATATGTCACAGAATTTTTCAGGGGAATCCATGTAGTTAAATGTATGATGTGTGGGCAGCTGAAGAAACCTTGTTGAGAAAATAGCTAAGCCTGCTAACAAAGCTCATGCGCACACACACTCTCTATCTATCTATCTATCTATCTATCTATCTATCTATCTATCTAGCATTTGTATACCACTTATATGTTTTGGTAATAAGCAGTCTATAAAGATATGAAATAAATGTACACACTGTAATTCACAGGTGGGTAGCCTGTTGGCCCACAGGCCGCACTCCGCCTCCCCTGATCCCTCCTGAAGCTGCTTCACTCTTCCAGCCCCTCAAACTTCCTTCCATTCTGTTTGTTCCTTCCATATTTCTCATGGCTTTTAAAAGTGTTCACTTCGCCACTCCCGGAACAGGTGGCATTTTATTTAATTAATTTTTTTAAATAAATAAATAAATGCAAATGCCCCACTTCTATGATTTGAGGAAAATAACTCTCCCTCCCTTCACAAGGTGTCCAATAACAAATTGGTAGGCTCCTGCTTCAATAAATTACTTTCACTTGCTTACTCTCAGTAGCTACAGTATTCTGGTTAGAGAGAGAGAGAGAGAGAGAGAGTGTGTGTGTGTGTGTGTGTGTGTGTGTGTAATCTCATCAAACCGTATAGGGTTGCTAGATGCACAAAACCTGCACAGGGACTGGGAGTTCTAATCTGAGGTAGCCATGTTGAAGACCAAAGCAGGATGGCCTTTATCCAGAATTAGTTAATCCAGAATATTTCAGCTATTGCTGGCATGTGCCCCCTTGACAAATTTGCCCTGGGGGAATGCAGCCCTCATCAGCCCCACCCCACCCCCAGCTGCAATTTGTCACAGTGAATTGTTTTTCATAAAGGTGACTACTACTTGCTACCATTTGTAAAAGGGAAATGACATTGCAGACCTATGTCGCATTATTGCCACAAGGAGAAATGAGCTAAATCTCATAAAGCACTTTTGTTCACAGTGCAGTGTGCACTTAACATTTTGATGGAAATTCTGGGCACGCTGCTGTGGCCTGGGCCTTTGGCTTTACAAATGTTACATAAATGGTAACTTATGCGGTGAGACAATGAGAATAGATTTGCCAGACTTGCCAGGTACAGGATTAAATATACTAACATAGAACCTTATTCAGTTTGCCCCAGGCATCAAGCCAAAGGAAGTTTTTAGTAAATTGGTCTTAAATTAGGTCTTTATCTCTTAAAAATTGAAATGAACAAAGAGCAAACTATTCCCACTATTTCAACAGCAGTGGTGGAGATACTTTCCTTCCCTCACCACCCCCTTCCTCAACTGATGTAGCAGAGGTTGATCTTAGACACTTTCTAGCCTTCCATTGACTCCAGAGACTCCCATCTGAATTTTAGGCTTGAAGGAGGTATTACTACTGCTACTTCTTCATAGGGTAGACCCACTGAAATGATTGAGACTTGAGTTCAACTCTTCACATGACTATATCTGGATTCAGTGCATACTGTGCTAGGACTCCATTCATACGCAATGTGTGAATAAAAAGGTAAAGGTACCCCTGACCATTAGGTCCAGTCATGGCTGACTCTGGGGTTGCGGCGCTCATCTCGCTTTATTGGCCGAGGGAGCCGACGTACAGCTTCTGGGTCCTGTGGCCAGCATGACTAAGCCACTTGTGGTGAACCAGAGCAGCGCACGGAAACACCGTTTACCTTCCCACCAGAGCGGTACCTATTTATCTACTTGCACTTTGATGTGCTTTCGAACTGCTAGGTTGGCAGGAGCTGGGACCGAGCAACGGGAGCTCACCCTGTCGCAGGGATTCGAACCGCCAACCTTCTGATCAACAAGTCCTAGGCTCTGTGGTTTAACCCACAGCGCCACCCACGTCCCAGCTGTCATCAAATCTACACACCAGCTAACAATGTGGTAGTATATAAGCAGTGAATTAAAAAAACTCCCCAAAAACTCCATCAAACAGAATTATCAGTAAGCAACAAGTGACACATATAGGTGTGTGCCTTTGTGGTCTTGTGGTTTATTTACTTTGTGGTTAAAAGGTAGTCTTCTGTAAACATGAAATAGGGTCTTCCTTGGTTTGCTCTGCCATATTGTAACCACAAATCGTAACCACAGATCGGTTTTCTGTGGATGGAATCTCACTGCTGTCCTGGTTGTCATGGAAGAGCTTTTGATCCCGCAGCACCCAAAATCCTAGAAAATTGTCTGCATGGAACAGGGTGGAAGACAGTGTGGGGAAATGCAAGTTGGCAAACATTGCCTCCCCTGCTTTCTTCTTAATGGAGGTATTTGCTGGATCAAAAGGCCTTCTTACCATAAATACAAGGGCAACAATTGGATTCCACCCTGTATTATTTTAAATAAAACTTTTTACCTAGTTTTTTTTTAATGGAACATTTTCTTTCAACATTGCAATTCATAGGAAACTGACTTTCTGGAGTAAACCACAAAAAAGCACAAAACAGATTTGGTGTAAGAAATTGAGGCATCTGCTTTTTAATGAAATACATTATTTACTGTATTTTATTTATTTATTTTTAAAAAATCAATCAGTCATACCCCCACCTGCTAATTTGAATGTTCTTTCAAGCTTTTGTGTCAGTTAAGTTAAATTGAATATGTTCACCGATACATCAAATAGTTTTGTTTTCTTTTGTTTTATTAATTTTTTTATTAAATTTTCTTTTACAAATTAATCAACACAATCCTGTTCTCAAATTTCCAATTTTTGTACTTCCACCAGCTCCTCCGCCAATCATCCATATTTTCTATTCATAACGCATTTTCCATTTCTTGTATTGCCAGTTAGTACTAACTTATCGTCTCAGGTTTTTTTTAGTTGTTTTTTTTTGCAATACATCTTTAACAGTCACAACTGTTTTCAATGTTTTATAGCTCAAGGGTGACTAATATGAATCAGGTGTAAAAGTAAATGTCCTTTTCTGTTTCAGGGAAGAGCTTCACTTTGACCATCACAGTCTTCACAAATCCTCCGCAAGTAGCCACGTACCACAGAGCCATCAAGATCACAGTGGATGGGCCTCGAGAACCAAGAAGTAAGTATTCAGATAACATGAAGTCCTAACCTAAAGACACAGAATGAATGCACACACACACACACACACCACATTCTATTTAATAAACTTTGAATCTGATCTTACAATAAAATTTACTAAGGCTGTACTCCTGTGTACCTGGGTGGGGGCCTTGGGCCAACTGCAGTCCTTCAAGCCTTTATCTCAGGCTCTTGGGACTTCCCCACTAAATCCCCTCCCCAGCCCGAGCTCCTCTCCCCAGGCCATTCCTTTCACTGGCCTTGCTTCACACTCCCCTTGAGCGTTTCTGCCTGGCTAGAATGTGCCTTCTAACACTGAAAATGCCTTTTGTTTCCTGGAGGTGCAGCCAAAAATTTTCATTTGTTGCCCCGCCCACTTTTTCCTCTGGCCCTGCCTTCCCTCACTGGCATGTAACCTCCAGAAGATTCCCCAAAGGAAATGTGCCCCTCAGACTGGAAAAAGTTCCCTGCCCCTGCTAGATGAAGTTATTTGGGAGATGGAACTCAATGGGGTCTTATTTCTAAGCGAACATGTGTAAAAACTGCACTGTTAAATCTGACTGGCTGCATTTTAGATCTCTAGCTATATGGTTTGGGGAAATTAGTTAGCTAGGAAGTTACACTGTTTTAAACCAGACTTTCACTGCGAGGGAGGGGGGCTCCCCTAGGGATCTGTTTTGCATGGCTATTGATTTGGAAAGAGACAGTTGAAATGCCTTTTTGAAGAGAATGAACAGGGATAGTAGGTGCAGAAATTGACAAAGGATGTGGGATTTCAAACACACCATGCATATTCTTCAGCATTTCTTACTCACTTTGGAATTTTGGAATTTTAATTTTAGAAACAAAATAGCCCTGTTCAGACTCCCCCCCCATTCCCCTCAAAGCTGGCAGATGGAACAGAGGTGAAAGGGGTGGGGGAGGCAGAAAAACAGCAACCAGTTGCTCTTGTGTGCAGCTTATTGTATCTCATGCCGGTTTCCAGTAATTCTTGAAGGCAGCACTTCAAGCAGGCAGATGGAATTTATTCCACTGAGGTGCAGATCTTCAGTCAAGTGACTGCCATTTTTTTTCTTCCCATTTTTAACAATTAAGAATGAGCAAACAATATATGGTATCTCCAGGGATAAATTCAAAATACTCACATGAGCACAGTGTGTTCAGGAGGGGAAATTCCCCACCCCAAAGCCACCTCGTTGCTGAACTAATGCAATACGTTCCCTTCTCATTGCCCAAGGCAATAATTAACTTTACTGTAGAATACTCATATTTGTATTGAAATATCCGCTTGTATGCTGAGGTTTGTGGTTTCTTCTTATTCCCCACCCTGCCACACGCACACACACACATTTGGCAGAGGCAGTGTGGCTGTAGCAGAAGTCAAAACGGGAAGAGCATAGAAACAAGCGCCCGTGGGAGGGAGAGCATTGCAAGTTAGGATTGAGTTCCAAATCAATTCTGTACATTAAAAAAACAACCCTTTGTGTGAAATCGTGGCAATCACTAATACTGAAAGAGCACTGGCACTGATTTTAACAGACCTGTGAAGACCTGATATATAATGTTCTTCATCGGTTTCGTTTTTACTAGTTCATCTTGCTAGCTTCAGACTGATGAATATTTCCTCTTTCTTTTCATGCAGTTTCCATCTAAGTGTTTGTCTGCATTTGGACTATGCAACTGTATATGTAATGTTTTTAAAATTAAGTCTCATAGTGCAACATTGTATTTTCCAAGCAAAATGCCATAATATGCAGCTGCCTTAAACATGCAGTACCCTGCCCCAACCCTGCTAGATACTTATGTGTGTGTTTGTGACTGCAGTAGTGTCATGGGTTCATGCTTACAACGTCACTTATTATTTTTATATTTCTTTAGAGCATTTGTACAGTGCTCCTCAGCCAAAAAACAACCCTCCCAGAGTTGCTTGCATACAGTCAATTAAAACCAGACAGTCCCTGTCCATAGGATTACAATATTAAAAAAACACACACACAGGAAAAGAGGCAGGTAAGGAAGTGGGGGGGGGGATAAAACTTAGGTACTAATTCTTAAACAGCTTTTATAATGACCAACTGGCACAGTTCAGGAGGTACCTGATCGAGCTGGTCTTTAGACAAAGCGGATGGAATGATTATGAACGGCTTACAAATACTGAGCTGTATATCTGTCCCCCAATCAGTAATATTACCCCACCTTTAAAAACAATTTCCTATCACCTTTCCAGTCCTGGAACATATATGCAAGCCCTTGTGGAGACACCTCCCACCCACCCCCATCAAACTCAAGTTTCAGCAACAGTATAATTACTGGGCAAGGGGTGGGTGACCCGTCATCTGCACAGGTTGTGCTACAGGCACATCTGGTGCATCATTGGGTACCTGTTGTGAGCTCCTTGATGAAGGGAAGAGGGTTAGGAGTAGCAGCATCCCTTCTCTTTTCCAGAGCTGGTCTGCTCCAGTCTGACCAGCATGCTTGTACCACCTCTTAGAGTTTCCTCAGCAATAGCTATCCTGCTTACAGAAGACTATCCATAACATTGGATCCTAGGTTCAGCTAGTGATGAATTAGGCCTAGCAGTGCTTATACAGCATTGACAAAACAAACACCTGCTTTTCTTGTTGTTGCCTGGAAATCCACACTTCCTCATAGCTTTCATGTGCACACCCCTTCTTCTGTGATAAACCCATTAGTACTACCACTTGAAGACATTACCTAAAAAATACATGAATGCCATAGGAGTGAAATTAATAACTGGTCTAAAAATGAGGGTCTCCAAATGAGCAGGGGGGTCTCAAAGAGTGGCTCTACATCCTCCAAGTACCTTGTAATTATTGGATTGGATCCAGACAGTGTTATTCACACTTCAGTTCCATTAAAATCATGACAACTTGCTCTATTGATTTGAATTGGAATAAAGCATGATTAACTTAGTATGGATCCATCCTGTTAATACTGCTGCTGCTGCTGCTACAACTGTGTGTGTGTGTGTGTGTGAGAGAGAGAGAGAGAGAGAGAGAGAGAGAGAGAGAGAGAGAGAAAGGCACGTTTCTACCTATATATTCTAGGAGCTCTTATACATTCTATACCAGGTATAGATTTATTAGGAGAGATGGTCCAAGAAATACAGTAAAATTATATCCCTTCTGGGCCCATCGTGCTAGCTGTCTTCTTGGCAAACCAAGCTTTGCGCTACCAAGAATGTCAACTTATAAGATTTCATATTTTTAAAAGCAGCATGGGGCTTCTTACAAAGCAATGAACACACTTTGTACTTTGACTCCCAAGTGGATTTTCACACAAGGATATGAAATCTTGTCATGTGATGGACAGGTGGGTTGCACCCACCCAACTGTCAAAATTGTTCTGCAGTATGGAAGATTGATAAAGACCAGAACCAAAAAAGTTACCTACAAATTCTTATATAAAAGATATTAAATGTAGTAAGTATATAGTCTTATGAAATAAATATTACTCCCCCAAAAAAACAACAACACCCAACTGCTTAATTTTTAGGAAGCACTTGAGCTTTAAAAAATTTGGGGAAGAAAGACTGAAAGGACACTGAGATTACTAATATTTTGAAATCAGTAGTAGTTATCCATTAGCAGCCTATTTTCTTTCCTCAGTGAAACACATCTAAATATAGAACTACACAGAAAATAAGGATGGCAATGATAGAGATCTTACTTTATGGTTTCTAAAACGAACATTCAATTTATGATACCCTTTATTTTCCATTGTAGAGGCATCTGAAACTTGCATTCATTAAATAAATTCTGGTGGAGTGTTTGCCAAAAAGACTTAAAAGGTTATTTTCCATGGTGGTGAGCTTATGAATCACAAACCAAAGTTGCTTTTCTATGAGCCAGTTCTTTGAAGAAATTCATTACCTAGATCAAGAAATGTAGTAGACGTACAAGGATTCTTAAATTAGCTACTTTCCCCAAGGCTATTTCAGTTATTGTATTTTTCAATGAACAAATAATGTATTTTCCCTCTTTTGAGTGTGTCTTTAAATGCTTCTCTGCCATTTGAGGATAAGGCTATCAATAGCTGCTAGTGCTAGCCCAGTATCAGAGGCAGATTATCTTAGAATACAGTTTGCTGAGGATCATGAGTGGGAGAGAACTTCTGGTCTCATGTAGTGCTTGTGAGGCTTCCATAGATTTCTAGTTGGCGACTGTGGGAACAGAATGTTGAACTAGAATAAGCCTTTGGTTTGTTCCAGGAGGGCTCTCATGTTCTTATTGTTTTAAACCAGGCTTCCTCAAAATCGGCCCTCCAGATGTTTTTGGCCTACAACTCCAATGATCCCTAGCTGGTCAGGGATGATGGGAATTGTAGTCTCGAAACATCTGGAGAGCCGAGTTTGAGGAAGCCTGTTTTAAACACTACAATTATAAACCTATGATCCATTATTTTTTTCCTTATGGAAATCAAGCCATGACCAAATTTCTACTCAGAGATGTGTCCTACTGAGGGTGCCCAAGAGAGGTGTGGGGAAAGAACTATGTACCCGCCATCTGCAGGTTGTGGTGGTATGTGCATTGAATTGGTTATCAGTTCTGCAGGCTGTGTGTGTGTGTGTGTGTACAAAGTGCCACTATGTGAAAACCCCACCAACAGTGATCTGAACTGACAGCACTGTTCATTGGGCAAGGAGAAGAGGGGATCCTCTCTCAACCACTGATACTGATACACACACACCCTTCCTATCAAAAGGGCAGGACTCAGTAAAATAAAAAGCAGCAAGCCTCTGTGCACTGAGATCTGAACTCCTTGAATAATGTCCCCTCCAGTGTGTGCTCAGCATTAAGAAGATTCATAAGCCCTTTCCCTAAATGGCTCCTCCCATTTTGAGTAGGTAGCTGTAGCACCACAGAATGGAAAGAGTGTTTCTCTGTCCTCAGTGCTTCCCTCACTGGCAGCCAGTGAGTAAACAGCCTGGCTCAAATACAGGAACTACAGACAAAGAAACTTTGTGGTAGCAAATGGGTA